TATATATATATACATATATATATATATATATATATATATATATATATATGTCAACAACTATTGATGAATCGACTTAGCCATCGAACCCGGTCTGGCTCCACACTGCATCTCGAACTCGACTCATGTCCCTACCCTTTAATGTCCTTCCCACACCTTCAAACATCGAATCAGTTGTTGATTTTCGAGATCTACCATATCCACGAGCCAAATACTCATGTGGGGGAATCATATCCAACTCATGATCATCAGCACCGTCGTCCGAGTCATGAAATGACTCAACTGAGTCAACTCGATATATCTTTGACCAATCAGGAACATTCACAGGTGCCGAAGACGCCATGTGTCGTCCACGTGGAGACTGCGCTGCCAGGCTGTCTTGTCCACGAAACTGATGAATGATCCGAGATGATGACGTGGCCTTACCTGCATCATCATCAAAAGCCAATGACAAGCCGCCGCTGCTGCCGCCTCCAGCTTGGCATCGGCGGCTGCTCCTAAAACTTCGGACGTCACTCTCTGCGGTCGCGCGTGAATTACAAGCGCCGTTCATTAAATGATCATCGTCGCCGCCGCCAGCGTTGACCATTTCATCAACGGTTGACCAAACATCGTCTTCTCCAAATTCCCATGTTTCGTTGACTGTTTGATTTCCATTATTGTAACTGTAACTTCCTAAATACCTTTCACTCATACTGATGGTCAGTTTTCGACCTTTCGCCATTTAATTTAACTTACGAAAATACTTTATTTTTCTTTAATTAACTGTCGGTTACCGGAATCTTGATTTTCCGGCGATCCCAGAAAAAAATCATAAATAAAAAATGAGTTTTTAGCTCAAAAAGGGTAGACTCGGCTTCTAAGGCTGGTGTTGTATATATAAGATGTGATAGGGAGAGGGCAAAATTAAATTTGCATTTCATGTGAATTTGGAGTTCATTTTGCAATCGTCATTATCATCATTTCATAAATATTAAGAGTAGATGTATTGAATCAAAATCATCCTCAACTAGTAAACATGGCCGCTCTTTGTGCAATTTATAAAAAAATAAAATTAAAATCATGATTTTAAAATTTAATATCTAGTGTGATCTTCAATTTCAAATAAATTATAAATGCTAAACTCAAACTCATTTTAACACCTAGTTTTTATTCTCTCGGTCCAATCATAATTATTCATTACCCATCTTATTTCTAATTATTTGTCCATTTTTTTTATAATTATTTGTCCAATTTTTTTATAATTATCTCTAATTATTTGTCCATTTTGATAAATCAAGAAAAAATAAAATAATTTTATTTTGTTGTTTTTTTTATTCCTATGGTTTTTCTTTCATTTTTTTTCTCTTTCTCATTATTTTTAATTTTAGTTATCACTCTGAATAATATTTATATTTTCTTTCAATGATAAACTTTGATAATGCGACTTAGATAACTATCTTATACTTATTCTAAAGATAATTTTTAATTCAAATAATGTGTAAAAAAAATGCATTACACATAAGTTTTTTTTTAATTACTAATCAATTAAAAATTTTAGTTTACATCCTAATCTAACAAGTTTATAAATTTTATTTTTTTATTTTTAGTGAAAAACTAAGCTCCAGAAGAACATTAACTTATTAAATTACAAAATCAATTAAATTGCATCTAATAAAAGTTTAGACAATAATAATAATAATAAAAAAATGTATGATACATATTTTATTTTCATATTATGTTTTAGCAAGAAACATTTTTGATTCCGTTTTCCTAAACATCCATAAATTTAAAAAAAAAACATAAAAAAATCACAACATGCATCACATATTGATACTATTCAAAAAAAACTTTATATTATTATTATAAACATCAAATTTTCATACAATATTCTATTTAATTAATTCGAGAATTTAGAGTTACCTCGATGCAAAAATGGATACCACAAAAACAACTGCTACGATCTACTAATTTCAAAAGTTAATGATTGTTAATTAACTTTAAAGAGCCGCAGACCGAAACCGCGAACAAAACCTCAGATTACCAGATAAAACTCACTTTTTTCACTCTTTTTGTTTTCTCTCTATCTTTCTCTATATTTCTCTCTTTTCCTCTCTGTATTTTCCTGTATCTGTATGTTTTTCTTCTCAACTGAATGTGTTTTTTTATAATATTTTTGGCTGAGAGTCTGGTGCTAATTAAAAGGAACGTAATAGAGTGAGATTAGGATTTAATTTAAAATATTGTTGAGGGAATTATGGTTGAGAAATAATTAAATAAATATCCTACTAAATAACAATAATAGGAAAATTAGTTTTTGAGAGTTTGAGGTTAATTAAGATAAGGGGAAGGTAAATTTAATATTTAGGACTCTTTTTTTTTCTTCTGCAATTATTTTTTAAACTAATTAAAAGTTGAAGATTTAAAACAAGTACCATAAATTCATAATTTTTTTTATTATTGAAGTAATTTACACAATTTATTTATTTTTATTTGTTTTGAATATAACCTTTTTAAAAATTGGTGTTAAATCTTTATATTTTGGTAAAAAATTAGGTGTTCACAGTATGCCTCTCTTTGCTTGAAAACATGAAGAGTTTTCATGCAAAGACGTGAACAATGTGACTAATTTTTTACTGAAATATTTATGTGAAAATTTTATAGTAGAAAAGAGGTTTGACTGTGTCCTAACTTTTAAAACTACCTATCCTAAGTTGAGATGATAAGGAGTCGGGCGTAGTTACAATAAGTTAGGTAGTCGAGTGAGGTTTTGTCGAGATTCTGGTTCGTAGCTCCAACTATTACATAAAAAAAAACAAAATGCAGAAGTAAAGATATGAAATCTTATCTACTCTGATAGTGCTAAGTCTTCATTTTGGATTCTTAGATATCGCTTCAACCTTTTTGGTAGGTTCATCGATTCCCGCCCTTTGCTCTAGACATCTGAGTTTAATACTTGAAACTTCATGACTTGACTTCAGCTACTGACGTTCTTCCGCATGATATTCTTGAAAACTTATTTTCTTGAAAGGATGAATTCTTTTATTTTTGAACTGCAAATTTGTGTACTATGTAGAAACCTGCACACAAAACTAAATTTTCTACCTAGTTTGCACTAGGAAATTTTGTGAGTTATTGATGAAATCTATAAAAGTCTATACTAATAATAAAATAATGTTTTTGTAGCCTATTACAAAATGTAAAAAAAAAAAGACAAAAGTGAGTTTTGTACTTAAATTGCAATCAGGGGTTATTGCGCTTTGTGAAGACATGAAAAATAAAATAGGGGTTATTGCGCCCTATATGCAACCCAGGGGTTATTGTGCCCTGTGAGACATGAAAAATAAAATAGGGGTTATTGTGCCCTAAATGCAACCAGGGGTTATTGTGCCTTGTGAAGACATGAGAAATAGTATAGGGGTTATTGTGCCCTATATGCAACCAGGGGTTATTGTGCCCTGTGAAGAATGATAGGGGTTATTGTGCCCTATATGCAATCCAGGGGTTATTGTGCCTTGTGAAGAAAAATGATAGGGGTTATTGTGCCCTATATGCAACCAGCGGTTATTGTGCCCTGTGAAGACATGGAAAATGATAGGGGTTATTGTGACCTTTATGCAATCCAGGGGTTATTGTGCCCTCTGAAGAAAAATGATAGGGGTTACTGTGCCCTATATGCAACCAGGGGTTATTGTGCCCTGTGAAGACATAAAAAAAATGATAGGGGTGATTGTGCCCTATATGCAATCCATGGGTTATTGTGCCGTGTGAAGACATGAAAAAAATTGGATAGAGATTATTGTGCCCTATATGCAACCAGGGGTTATTGTGCCCTATGAAGACATGAAAAAATTGGATAGGGGTTATTGTTTTTTTTACTTATATTTTATTATTTAATATTATTTTATTTTATTTTTATTAGTACATTGACTAATTTAAAAATAAAATAAAATGCCCCAAATTTTATTAAGAAAAAAATAATCCTTTTTTTTCATATTATATGAGAGACAAGGATTAAAAAACTTACCATCGCGGCGTTTGTCTGTAGCGAATTTACTTGCATGATTTGTCTTTATATCTCTTTCAGCCTATAATTTTAGTTCTATCTTTATTGTGCTTATGCCAAGACAGAATGTCATCATCTGATAAATGGTGTTACTCGTGATTTTTTACCAAGTAGACATTCTTATCTTTTTACTGTCGTCTTATGGTTCTTGTGAGAGTTTTCACTCATAAGACCCTCTTATTTTATATTTGTTTGTATTTTTATTTTTTAAACATACCATAGGCTACAATTTCATGTTTCAAACCTTGGAGATTTTATAGCATGATCATTATTTTATTGAGTGATTAGACCAAACCTCAATGAATGACTGCATACGTATCCTCTTAAAAATCAGGTCGAACGTAGTTCAATAAAAAATATTTTTCTGTTTTTTTTTAATTTATAATTAAAAATATAATAAAAAATTTGGAAAAAGAATTAGTTCATGTTTGATAATGCTTTGACTTTAGTTGGTACCAATAATTAGTATTATGCATTCATGTAACGACCCGTTTAGTCGTTTTGAGCAGCAGATTTTATTTCTGGAAAACTGGCTGAGACGACGGACAGTCATGGGCACGACGGACCGTCGCAGGGTCTCGTTTCAGAACACTTAGAAAATCTGAAATTGGGTACTGAAAATCGACTCTCTGAACTTCGTAACGAAATGGCAGGACGGACCGTCACATGTGTGACGAACCGTCACATGTGTGACGAACCGTCACACACTCTTTGGTGGAAATTGAGTCTCTGAATCTTGCGACGACCTGCAGGACGGACCGTCGCAGGCACGACGGGCCGTCGCAGGTTGCGTAATCCCAGTCTGGGTCAGATTTCTTTATACGTTTTAAGGGACGTTTTTGACTATTCCTGCCTTAATTATAAAGTTAGTGGGTTAATGTTAATAGGTCTAATTACTTGGGGGTTAAAAGAGGTAACCTTAAGTTAATTAGTGGGTTATTATTGCCATCTTTTATTCTTAATTATATGCTAATTAGGGTAAAAGAAAGAGGGTCTGAATAAAGAAAATAGAAAGAACAAGATGAGAGAGAGAGGGTCAATCGAGAAGGGGAAAGCACAAAGCTTTGGAGAAAATTTGCTTGCTTGATCACTAATCTTCGGTGGAGGTAGGTAATGGTTTCTATTACGATATTCGTAGTAAACTCTTAATAGCGAATGATATGTATTGATAATATTGTAAAAACCCTGCTATGTGCTTAATTGTATGCTTGCATGAATGTAATTATATAATGGTGATTATATAAGCATGATGAAGTTATTGAATCCCAAATCTTGCAAAACCCTAATCTCTTTGTTAATGATGAGGCCTTGGTATAAAAGAAGGCTTGATGAATTGATAGAAGGAGATTAGGGGATCGGGTGTCACGAACCGACACGTAGATTTAGGGGATCGGGTGTCACGAACCGACACGTAGATTTAGGGGATCGGGTGTCATGAACCGACACATAGATTTAGGGGATCGGGTGTCACGAATTGACACGTAGATTTAGGGGATCGGGTGTCACGAATCGACACGTAGATTTAGGGGATCGGGTGTCACGAACCGACACGTAGATTTAGGGAATCGGGTGTCACGAACCGACACGTAGATTTAGGGGATCGGAGTGTCACGTTCCGACACATAGTAGTAGGGGATCGGAGTGTCACGTACCGACACAAGAGGATTAATGAATATGAGGGAGCGGAGTGTCACGTACCGACACAAGAGAAATAAAGATAATGAATCTCGAAAGATGTTAATATACTCAATCTAATGAACATAATTCCAAAATGAGTACGGTATTGAGGCTTGAGTCCTCATGTGTGAACTTGACGGTAATTGTTAATGATATAGTACTTGCTGCTGCTACATGTTG